CAGAGTTCTTTGCGCAAACAGGGGTATCCGATTACTGGCAACTCATTCATTGGTCAAAAGGTGTTAGACATGTCTGCCACGCAGGACGAAAGTGCAACGCTACAGACGCAAACCGATACAAAATGAGCGGGAATCTGGGAACAACATGGGGAACGCTGGGAACGCCTGTGATAAATTGGATTCCGCGAGAAACAAAATGGCTGATGAAGTTGAAGTTAGATGTGTTAACGGACAAGAAGAACTGAAAGGACAAACACGAATTCAAGTGCAAAAGAAATTTGATCCGAAGCGCTTTTGTTGCATTAACAAAAATCTTCTGGTGTTGAAGCTCTATTACTTTTTTGCTTTCAGCGCCCAAGCTTGTATCAAGCCATTTTATCCCATAGTTTTTCGCCACGTGGGAATGTCAGCGCAACAGACGGGAATTATACTCGGTTTGAAGCCATTGGCGCGTATTATTGGAGCACCTGTTTCCGGAGTTTTGGCAGACAAGTACCGTAAACACAGACTTGTGATGCTAGTAATGTTTATCGTCTCAACCACGTTGCAGTTTTCTCTTGTATTTGTTCGTCCAAACGAAGAATCGAGTGTGGAAAGAAATTTATGCAGCAACATCTCAATATGGAATTCATCTGAGAAGGCAAATGGCAGTGGTAATATATGGCCGTGTGGTATTACAGGAAACTGTTCTTTGTTCACTGTGGACAAAAACTGTACAAATCATTCAGTTTTGAACGTGTCAGTAATGGCTAACAGTCCAGGGAAAGGAGGAAATAACAATAACACATTTTTAATTCTTGTTATACTTGTGTTTGTGATTTCACTGTTTGACAACTCCAACTCTCTTGCCGATGCAGCCGCTGTAAAGTACTTGACTGATATGGAAAGAGTTGGGGACTACGGCAAACAACGAATGTGGGGCTCAGCGGGATGGGGAAGTATTGCAATTATTTCTGGCTTCACAATGGATCAGTCAGCCCAACGTTTAAATCAAAATGAGTTTCTCTTAGCATTCTGTGGATTCCTTTTGTTTAGCATACTGACTATAATAACCGTGTTCAAATTGCCAGTAGAATCTTTAGAGGACAAATCTAAGCCGAACATCATTCGGAATGTGAGGATTCTTCTTTCAGACTGTCGCATTGTGATATTTTTGATTGTCATTCTTGTCATGGGAACTTGTATGACCACGATTGAGGTATTCTTATTCTGGTTTCTTCAAGACCTGAATGGAAGTCACTTGCTTATGGGACTCTCTCTTTGTATGACATGTGTTACAGAAGTCCCCATAATGTTCTACTCAGGCCATTTAATCAAGTGGATAGGGCATCATGGCGTTTTATACCTTACACTTGTGTGTTATACTGTAAGGTATCTGTCATACTCCTTTATTCCCAATGCTTGGTACGTGTTGGCCATTGAACCTCTCCACGGCGTGACGTTTGGAGCCATGTGGGCTGCTACAACATCTTATGGAGGTATGATTTCACCTGAGGGTATGCGTGCGACAGTGATGGGTCTAGTTTCTGCAACGCATTTTGGCCTTGGCAGGCTTATTGCAGGGTTTGGAGGAGGAGCTGTTTACAGCAAATATGGGCCAAGAGTTCTGTTTAGAAGTCTGGCTATAATTAGTGCTACTACCTGCCTAGTGTTTGTTGTATCACAGAAGTTGTTAAAGAAAAAGTCTCAAGTGAACTATTCCCACTTACAGAATGATTTTCAAGATCTAAACAGTGCTTGGGATCTAGGTATGAAAGAGATTAGTTTGGACTCCGAAGATGATCTGTGACTCAAGAGTGGACAGTTTGCTTGTATGAAGTGCCCATTGAAAAGAGGATGCGCTTCTTTACAGGGGTGGCGGAGCATACTTTGAATTGGGGGTGCTTACAAGCAAGCGCTAGAGGCGCTAACTTGTAGGAGGTCTGGAGATATTTGTAAAATTATTATTTTATGTATATTTTGCGTGAAATTGCCCCCTGGCTTTGCTATCCCAGCTTTAGTTTTCTCATCTCTTTGTAAGTTTTTATCAAAGGTCATATCTACAACAAACAACTTTTACAGGAACAATACATCCACCTTAAGACTCCCATAAGTAAGGTAAGGTATTGTAACGTTTTGAGGTTTCTGCTTACGATCAGCTTTTTAAATGATGTTCTTGATTGTTGTTTTCTTTTTTATGTTCCATTGTGTTAATTAAAATAATTTGTAATAATTTTGTCGTTGTGAGGTTTCGATCAAGAATTTGTTGAAAGAATAAATGCATGACACACAAGCACAAATTTTTTATATATTTGTTAATTAAAATTCAAACGTGGTGCTGAGGCTAAGGGGACTAAAGCAAACTAATTATTGACAGATAATCCACACCTCAAACTCAATGTGATTTCTTTTGTTTTAATCCTCCTAATCCTCACAGACTTGCCCGAATTTTAATACAAAGAAATCGGCTCGTTTGTATGCTGTAATGGCACCTATGTGCCTCATTTGTATTTCTTTCGTCGTGTTTTTGTGACATTTCACGTTTGTGTCATTACTCTCAAAGATGCACTTTAGGGGGTTTAGTTTGTTCAACCAGGCAGCATCTTTTGGAACCTGGAAAAGTTCATTGTAGATTGTATTTTCCCTTTTTGTTTCTTGGCCATCCATGGCATTATGTTATTGCAGTTTTTACAGTTTTACTTTGGAATAAACTTGTTCAAGCCACGTGAGCCTATGTATCAATTCAAGCACCTGCACTGGTAAAGTACACTGTTTGAGAACTATGTTGAACAAACCTATGATATGGCCTTGTGACGGCTTCTATTGTTTGGCCATGTACTTGTGATCTTTGATTAATTTATCTATAACATATTTTTACATGAAAGGAAATTCACATGTACAACAGTTAAGGTTGGTGACATTAATCGAGGACACTGCAAGTAGAAATTAATATCATGAAATGTGTGCTGAATGTAATTATCTTTATGACTGACCCCACGTGAATGGTCCTTCATAAAAATTGAGTTTTGCTTCCTTAAGACACAGTGCTTTTAAAGGTAGACCCAGGGGTTCGTCATTAACTCTTTAAAGTGCCTATGAAGTAAAAAATAATTGCCACTTATTTGAAAGGCTTATCAAAGTAAAGAAGAATGGCGTTTCCCTTTTTAGAATATCTTTTTTCGTTCTAGAAATATTTACGTTTTTGTAATATGCAAATGAGGAAAGTGATGACATCATAGGTGGTTCCACTTGAACAGTAAAACACTGAATCAAGAATATCTCTAGAAATATTGGAGCAGTGTTCTTCAAACTTGGCACCACAAATGCGCATCACAAAGGAAACAGAATGACACCTGTGTTGTTGCCATGGCAACACTTTTGGCTCCAGTCTCTTTCTGTGAAAAACCAAATATGCCAATTTGCAACCCTTCGAAAAGGGACAGYGGGTCATGCTGGGAACACACATGATTCCCATATTATCTTAACTCTCCCCATTAGATTGTTGGGAGTGGAAGATCCTTGTTTAAGATAAAATCTGGTAATGTTAGTTTTAATTAAAACAGGACCAGCGGCATAACTGTTGTCATGGCGATGGCACAACGGGTATCATTTTGTTTCTTTTGTGATGTACATTTCTGGTGTCAAGTTTAAAGAACACTGCTTTAATATTTCTAGAGATATTCTTGATTGAGTGTTGAATCGTTTTAGTGGAACCACCTATGACGTCATCACTTATAATACAAAAACGTGAATATCTCTAAAATGAAAAAAGATATTCCAGAAAGGAAAACGCCATTCTTCTTTACTTTGAAAAGCCTTTCAAATCAGCAGCAATTAGTTTTTACTTCATAGGCACTTTAAGTAAAATATTGTGTGAGTCATGATGTAAATATTGTTGCATGCGGCTACTTTATTTAACTTGGGTTTTCAATTATTTATGTTGTATGATGAAATGCAGCCCAAGCATTATTTAATTCAACATTTTTATTAATATATATTTACTGCAAGATTTTTCAATAAAGCTTTAGATATTGCACATTTTTTTGCCAATTTTGTTTGAAATCTCGTACATCTGGCAGCTTGTTACTGGCATAGAATTTAACAGCTTCTGCATCCCCAGATCCAATTTGATTAAATAGTCCCATTTCCAAACAAGTACATTACATAATGCGACACAACCCCCATTTCCATTCAAATTTGCATGAAAAGCCTGGTCTCTTTCATGTGAAAAATCTGATTCCAAATATGCATTCTTGTGATGTCTTATCTCTGTGAAGAAAAAAACAAGTTGATATTAAAACGATTTTTAACTTTGGGAAAATTGGGAAAAACATTGTTAAAAAATGGTACGTCTGTAGAGAACACGCATGTGCTGTGCACATTCAAAGGCACTCCCAACCTCGAACCCAGGGTCTCTCTTCTTCCCTTCCGCAGGAGCAAGAGAGGCAAAAAAACGGACCGCTCTCACTACGCCGAGAACGGAGCTTTTCGAAAACGCTCTTCAAACGCAACAATTACCGGCAGTAGAAAAACTTGAGCGCATCCTTGAGAGTTAGGGTTAATCACAGGATTATCAAGACGTCATTGTTTTCGAAAAACTCCGTTTTCAAAACGTTTTCCGTCTACACCAACACTCAAAGCCGGCGTTTTCAAATTCCTCCAGTTTGAAGAACGTTTTCGAAAAGCTCCGTTTTCGTGAAGGATAAGTGTGGACGGTAGACCTAACCGTAGAAAAAAAGCTGCGTTTTCAAATTTTCCGGCGTAGTGTGGAGGGAGTCTTGGTGGCATGCCGCTCATTTTGATACCTTTTAAGTACAAACTTTGTCCAGGACTTCCTGCATCGCGTCACTGAGATCGTCAAAGGTGTCTACCAGCACGTAGTGATTGTTGCCAGCCATGATTTTCAGTTCTTCTTCGTCCACATGCCAACTGACACCAATAGCTACGATTTTCACTTTGGTTGCTCCCTGAACAAAAACAACAAAAACTCTCAAATTATGTTGTCATTTTTCCAAATCACGCCACGCCATTTGTAGTAACTGTGATGGATCCTGACCAAAAACGTCCAGGTCAATAACGTCGAAAGTAAGAATAATACTACATCGAGCGAGGAGCCAGCTATTTCAAAAAGTAAAAAAGAAATAGACCAATTTCGATGTATTAAAATTCAGCCTAAAACAATAGACCTTAGTACGACGCTCTGGGAAATAAATACAGAGTTTGTGGGGTTTATTCCCCAGAGCCTCGTTCTGAGGTCTATTGTGTTAGGCTGAATTTCAATATATCGAAATTGGTCTATTGGCGAAATCTAGTGCTTAAAATTAACTGCCCGAGATAATAGACGCAGTTATTCATAAGCTTCTATTCGCACGTTTGTTTTGCAATGTATATTAATAACTTTATCGAATTGTAATTCAGGTATAATGCATTTCCAGCTTTCTGATTGGTTCACTGAATCTTGGTGAGTAAGGCAAGTGTTGCTTAGTTTAAACTTTTTCGGCGGTTATGGAAATTAAACTTCTGTCGGAAAAAAGACTGAAAACCGCGAAAATACAGAAAATAATAAACATCTAATTGCCATCCCGGAAACTACAAAAGGCCACAAAATACTACAGTAGGCCATACTCGTTTTCTCGGTATTGAAATGCAACTAGCTTGCAACTAAAGCTTATGCAGGGAGATTTTCCTGAGATTTTACTTTAATGATGTATAAGAGCAGCTGAAAACTAATATTCATATAGATTTTCGCTCCGAATGGGTTCTTGGTTTTGTAATACACTACACTTGAATTTCTAAGCTTTTGCGTGACGCGGCATTTACATGACGGCCTAGAGAGTCATGATGGTTAAAAAAGTGACTTATTTCGGGGAACTTGGTTATCTGAACAGTTAATGTCTTAGAAAAAGTATTATTTTAATGTTTTAGAGTTGCTCGAGGGATAAATTCGCGCTTTTGTAACAAAACTCAGTGCCAGATGTTTCTGTTGGTTTCCGGCCGCCATGTTGGTGCCCATGCGGATGGACACCAGCATCTCGTCTCCATACAAATCACTATAAATTTGGGTGAAAAATTTATCCGCATATCTCGCGTACGAAAAATTGCTGTGACCAGAATTTTGGCGAGAGTCTGCATATTTACCTTCTTTCATTTCTCCGATTCTGGACTTTATCTATCGACCGGTTTTGATTTTTATCTTGATCTATTTTGAATTGCGTGACACTGAAAACCAGCAATTTAAAATCTCTTTTTATGATATTCCCCCCCATGAGCCTCCTTGCAAGCTAGTTCCAGTCCCAGCCGAGAAGACCCTTGATTAATTTTTAATGAATTTGAGATCCATAACCTTTACTTGTTTGTAAGGTAATTAAGAAGGTTTTGTATGTTAGTTGCAGTGTACCTTTAAAGAGATGACGGGTGGTATGAGTCGGTATTTTCCACGATAGGTCTTACCATCTGTAATGACCAATAAGCAACGCGGTATTATATGGTAGTCACGTGCACCATTATCCGTCGAGTAAAATGTCTTGGCTACCCACAATGCTCTGTCAGTGAGTGTGGCACCTGAGGGATATGACATGTTGCCGAGCTTGTATTCCAGAGCTAAAGGGTCGTAAAACTCTGTATCATTGAATGTAAAATCCTTGAAAACTCTGTGATCATAGTGAAGGCAAGCAAAGTGGCTTTCATTCGCGGACACGTTGAAATAATGAGTAAAATTTTGTAAGAATTTCTTCACTAGCTGGAAAGAACGAGTTCCAACACTACCAGATGCATCGACAACAAACGCAATGTCCAGTGGCACTTTACACTCTGAAACAAAGAACGAAATGCGTTGAGACCACACGTTACCTGCTTTACAGACGGCTTTGAATTTTGACAAGCTTTGGTCTGGAATTAAAGTCGCCGGAATATGTGGCTAGTTTTAAGGTCGCCGCTTTGATGCTGGACTGATTCTCAGACGGTCCAGGGGCCCGTTTCTCGAAGGTCCCGAAAAGTTTTCGCCCCCGTAAAGCTATAGCAAAATCTCGAATCTTATGGTTACAGAGCTGTTTTATTCACATATTCGCAATATGAACAGAGGTTCCCTTCATACAACAAGTTTCAGGCGTATACACTTCTCCATTTTTGGACACAGATGAACAAAAAATGGCTTTATGGGCCCGAAAAGTTTCCGGGGCTTACGAGAAACGGGCCCCAGGGCACTCGCGTAAATACAAAACCCCATTTTTTGTTGTAAAAGGTTACCAAATTTGATCTGTACCACGCTTCGTTGGTCTCAGTTTCTGTTTACTTTCTGTTTTATTTTTATTTTGATCTGTATGTGCTAGAATAAGCATTTTCTGAAAAACAAATGCACCCCGAAAAAAACATATGACACCCCTACCTCCCCATAACGGCCACTTTTAGGGTTGATCGACTGTAACTACATGTACAACGTATACGCGCATGATTCAATGTACCTTGCGCGTTTGCTATTAACTAAATTTTTTCCTGTGGTTGACCCTGTGAGAACGCGGACACCGGGGTAAAAATTAAATATGTAGAACCATTCTTTTCTAATTTTAAAACTAAAACTTTGCTTACTTATAGTTATTGGAGGTTTAGTTGGTTTAGCTGTGGTTGGTTGTGCTGTGGTTGG